TATAAAGCATTGGGAAAAGTATTGTTATAATAAGAAGCGAAATTTTTACTTAGAGAAAAAAAGTTTATTGACACATCATATTTGTCATATCATATTTTTAATCATAAAAATTTTGTTAACTAATATAAAATATGTATATGAAAGCAACAAAGTTCGCTTAAAAGAGAAAATATTAGAAAAATTTTATTTAGTAATTCAAGTAGTTTTTAAAACTTAATATTTTATTTTTACAATTATTAATATGAATTAAAAAATTTATTTAACATTTTTTTGAACTTTAACATAAATTTTTATTATTATTATGATTATACGGTTTTCAGGCAATATGTCGTATACAACGTACAATACATCGAGTTTCTTACTTGATGTGAAACATGTCTATTTAATTGCTTAACAATTTAAACAAAAATAGTACTTAATTTCAAGAAAAATAAAATTACAAACTGATTTGCCAGATTAAATTGTACGATGTAATGAAAAAACTTGTTCGCGTTCACATCTCTCTAACTACATTTTATATTAGATCGAGTTAACTCGATCTAATATAAAATGACGCGAACTGCAAAAGCTACTTCCTGTCATTTGCGTAAGCACGTAGTATCAACATTTCAGAAAGTTTTTTTCTTATCACAGAAGAGGAAAAAAGCAGCAAGAAAAAGGCAAAGGGCGTTACGAGATGAGATACACGCAGGTAGATTATAAGATACATGGGGGGGAATTCAACCCGCCAGAAGGATATCCCTTCGTCACACACGAAGCTCCGCTTTATTAATGCTAAAAATATCCACTTTGTATTAAGCAAACAATAGCGTACGTATCTAATACCATTTAAAAAAATGTTTAATTTACACGTATACATTCAATAAGCCAAAAATATTCTAAGTAAGTACGTAAATTGAAACATATCTGAAGAAACGACAGATTATGATTTTATATCAAAGAAAAATGTAACAGAAGAAGAAATATAAAATCAGTATCTACAACAGATCGTATAATTTGACTTGAAAAATCCACAGATTTATAAACTGAAAGAACACGCAATAAGCTCGTATTACTCGCGATGAAAAGAAAATTTTACGAAATCATATAATTTCAAGTATCGCATCGTATTTCAGAGTATTTCCCAAGATTTTTCACTTTTCAGGGGAACAAATGTTCTAACTTTGGGCACAGATAGTCCTGACATTTTTGTTCCTCGATCATTTGGCATGGTAAGCAAAAACTGAGGCATTTGCTCCCATTTTATTCATGCGATCCATTGTCCCCGCTACATTCGTTGAGTGCGACTTGTCAGCCCGCACCAGCTATACGCCAGTATCTTGCCAGTCGAATGGACACCGAGCCGGTGTATCGAATCGCGTGGACATTCGTTAACACCGTGGCGCAATAACGCTCGGTGGCAGAATGTGTCGTGTGCGACACATCCCTTTTAGGTGTACGCGAGCGCGTTTCGTCTGTGTACATGTGCCGAGAGAGGGTGGCAAAGGGTGGAAGCTATACAAGCCCTGGTGAGCAGAGGATCACCGCCGTGGAATGGCATGATCATACGGACGGATGGAAGGGCCGCTGGAAGGAGGAAAGAGCTGAGAGGGCGGCTGAAAGAGAGGAGCGAATAAAAAGTTGGACCGCGTTGTACAAGCGGGGAAAAATTACGAGGAAGAAGATGTGGCGGCGAGCAGGAATACGGAATGTGATGGCGTACGACGGCAACAAGTATACCCGGTCGGCATCGTTCCAGCGTGTCGTAAATATTGGCAAGCGAGAAACCCGGTTCAACAACGAGCCCAGACTTGCCATTTGTTGAATCGAACTGATTAACAACAGGGAGTATATAATATACAATTATAGGTTTCTGATAAGCAATATATATTTTTTAGCTAGCTTTTTTTTTTTTAGATTGAAACCTTATTGCAACAGGATATTCATTTATTATAATTAGAAGATTATTAGAAAATTTAGAAAAAAAACTAATAGAAGGCTTCAAAAGGGAAGTTTTTTTTTCATTAAAATCTCTCGGAAAATATCGAATTACTCAAAAAGCGTTTATACAAAATATTGAGAAATATCTTGTATATTTTATTTATGTTACAATAATTTAAAAAAACATTATTTTTTCAAAAGAATTACTGTTTTGTACAACTGTTTAATACAACTTTTTCAATTGACTACTGAAAATTCACTTGGATATCGACGACAACACTGCGATTTGTATCATGACTATATGCTTTCTCCGCCGCATGTTTGCAATCGCCTCTGGGGAAACCTTATTTTTATTTTCTAGTCCAGTTGCTGAATAGAACTTTTCAAAAAGCTCTCCCACTCTCTTTGCCAGACACAAAATACGTAACCTATAGCTGCGGGCTAATATTGGAGCAGATAGCGTTATTTCTTCGCAACAGTGCATCTTCAAGTGACACGGTTTTCTCTAAATCTTTCTGTACACCTCCTTCAAATCAATGCAGCTGAAAATCAATTTTGAAAAGAGCACGCAAATATTGGTGAAAATCAAACCATTTTACGCGTAACATAAAAGAATAATAATCATAAAATACATCCGCTAATTTGCTAGCTTGCCATGTTTTTATCTTCCTCTTTCGGTCTTGTTCTTTCCTTTTCAAAAGTCGTGAGAGAGATTTTTATGATTATTTTAATGTAACAAAAGATATTTCTGAATGTAATTTGATATGTTTGCATCATACATTTTAAATAATACAAAAGACGCAAAAGGTGTAAGTAGAAGTTGTATGTTTG